CGACCGCCTACGAGACGCTCAAGGTGAGGCCCGCGGGCGCGCATCCCGGGGATTTGGATCTCACACCTGGGTGACCAGGTCCTGCAGGACCCCGGCACAGTGCGGCCACCTCCCAGATCTTTAGGACATCCGCGCTTCCCACGTGGCCTTGTGAAAGAGCCACCTTGGCCCATTAGCCAGCATGGCCACCTCCTAGTCTTGGAGGACAGCCAGTTCTCTTTTTGGACAGTTGTTATGCAAAGCTTTGCACGTATTTTATTTTTGGTGTAAAAGCATTCTGATAACTTGAGGTGCATGCTCCGAAAGCAGGGTGATTGTCAGTGCTAGGATCTGGGATAGGGCAGAGTAAAGAGAAGGTTTGGGACACTGAGTAATAACTGATCGTGCCATTTTGATAGGGCAGAAGTTTGGCTTCTGGGATGATGTCACTGGTGACATCTAGTTGAGATCTAAAGAACTAGAAAAACACAAAAAGTGAACTCTCAGTCTGAAGACTGGACTTTGACTCTTGGCTTTGACACCCCCGAGTGACCTTGGATAGCTGTTTCTTCATATCCATTTAATGACTTGGGGCAGAAGATTGAGAATTATTAGTAGAAAAAAAATTGTGAATGTGTTTAGTGATTTGACATCGGTTTTATTGTGTTCTGTGGAAGTAGGGAGATTCAGCCTGACACTCTTTTTCTTGGAGAGACTATTTCAGAGGCCTTACCTAGTTGTTCCATGTGGTTGCTTCTAAAAGTTTTGACCCCTAAAGTTTAAAATTGATTTGTCAGCAAATAAAAAGTTAGATAAAATGTGTCCACTCAAGAACTTGAGACTTTTAGGAAGTTAAAAACTAGTGTGTTAAGCTGGGCGTAGTAGTCTTTAACCCTGGCACTCAAGAGGCAGAAGCAAATAAATCTCTGAGTTTGAGGCAGTCTTGTCCACAAAGCAAGTTCCAGGACAGCTGGGACTACACGGGGGAAATCCTGTCTCAAAAACACAAACAAACAAACAAATAAATACATAAAAGGCAGGTGGATCTCTGAGTTTGAGGAAGCCTCGTTGACAAAGCATGTGCCAGGCTACATGAGGAAACTATCAAAAACACAGATAGATAGATAGATAGATAGATAGATAGATAGATAGATAGATAGGCAAAATTAAAAGTCAAAAACTAGTCTGTCTAGAGAAAGTAACATTTTACATGACAAGATGTTTATAGTAGCTCCAAACACCTCCCAACAGGGAACTAGAAATAGAGTGGCACTTGTGGAGAAGGGACCAGGGGAGTGTGCAGCACCCACTCCCAAGCTGCACTTCTGATGAGACCCAGCAGGACTCTGAAAAGTCCTATTTAGAATTTAGAGATGAATATATGTTTAGCTTCTCAATGAAGCATGGTAGGATCTGCTCTGTTCATTGTATTGCCTTCACCTGGAAGAGGACTTTAATTGCTGTGATATCAAAGAGAAATAGGTGCCTTGATTTGTATTTCTCTCATAATGGAGAACTGAGAGAGTTGCCCGAGAATACCATTTCTGGGGAATGCAAAGATTTAATGAAGCATGTCATCCAATTTTGGAGGGCCGGCTTGTCTTCATATTATCCCATGAGGCAGTGGAGGTGTAGTCACTGTTTTGTTTGTATTCTATCCTTAGTCTGGAACAAGGATTTGTGAGGGATAAGAAATCTAGATGAATTTTGCTAAGAACTGGTCAGATAGAGTGGTAGGAGAGCATGAGTTCTAGGGGCTCTGGGATAGAAATGGCACACAGATGTTGATAATAGGTGCATCTTCAGTATGGGGACTGGATTTGTGTAAGGCATCAGTGCATTTGTGATTCTGGGGTGGGTTGGCTCACATAGATGTCCTTTTGAGAGCAAGCTGATCTTGGGGGAGGGATAGTGTTTGTTTGAAGATGGTGGTAGTTAAAGATAAGTACAGTAACAGGATTTAAGTACAGTTAATAGGACAAGAAGGTAAGATACTTGGTCATTACTAATTTAACAACAAAAGGTAATGGAGGGGCTGAGCTCAGATGCTTATGCAGAATTGTGCTTAGTTCCATCTAGCAAGTGATTTACAATTCTGGGTCACAGCATGACTTCAGACAGGTATGATTTCACACAGTGCTATATGGGTTAAGCTAATGCAAAGGTGTTTTCATTATTTGACTATTGGGGGGTTGAGGGAAATCATAGACTTTGGAAGTAAGCAGACTCTCACTGGCTGAGTCTGCACTGAATCTCCTGAGGTGGAACACTCTAGTCTGGCCATGTGGCCTTATGTGGCTATAGCACTTATCACACAACCCTGTAAATTTAAGTAGCTCTTCTCTTGGCCACTAAGCCATGTCCCTTGTTTGTTATCTTTGTATCCGTAGGACCTAGCACAACGTCTGGCACATCAGATAATGAGTATTACTTAAACTCACATTTAGAGACAGCTTCGGGTAGAATGGAGGTTGAAAGTGAGTTTCTAGCATTTTGACATGGTTATGTTCATCCTGCTTTGCTATTTCACTCAAACTGATTTTAGAGTGGTACAAATAATATTAAATTGGACAGCTGTGAATGAAACATTCCTGCATGAGAGAAAATTGTACTCTCTACTTTTAATGTTTTGAGGGTTTTAAAATGAGAGCAAAAATAACTTATGAATGTAGGTGAAAACTGCATGAAATGCAGGAAATAGCATAGGGTAAGCAGATGCAGAAACAGCAAGAAAAGATTGAATTAGAAAACTTATGCTTGGTAAGAAATGAAAAGTGGATTTTGACATTTCATAAGATCACAAGAACATAGAAAAGGGCATAGGAATATTTTTGACATGAAGGTTATCTGATAAGTTAAAAAGTTGTATAAAGAGATTAGGTCTGTCTTGGAAGCAAGGCTGCCCAGAGAACAATGGTCAATCTTCCTTAGTCTTCCAAGTAGCTGGGATTACAGGTCTGAGCCCCTAGGGTTAGCTTGACTTTAAGCTTTTATTAAAACCGTGGAGACAGATACTTACTGTTTGGTCATAATTTACTTAAGCTATGTACTACAGTTCATATTTCAGTGTGAAAAGGAAGCAATTATTCTTGGGGGATTAGAGATAAATGTACCCTTTCAGCTAGAGCTGGAAGAAAGTCACCATGGTTGACAGTGAAGGGGCATTTCTAATAGAAGTACAGTCATTAGCGTTCAAGGCTTGTTCTAGGAGTGAGATACTGTATTTTTTTTCAGACACTCTTTGTTTTAAGGAGAAAAAAATGAGTGCACTTTTTAACATTCCAAATCTTTTCAGTCATGAAGATTTTAATCAGCCATTTGTGGTAATTGGGTACAATTAACTGTCTGTGTCCATGAGTTCTGCATTCAGAGATTCAGCCAAACTCAGATGAAAAGTATCTGGAGGGGAAAAAAAATGTCTGGAGTTGTAGATGTAGCTCAGTTGGTAGAGAGCCTGCCTGCTTAGCATGCATGAGGCCCTGGGTTTGATCTCTAGTCCAGCAAATACTCCTTGTGGTAGCACACACTTGTAATCCTAGCACTTGGGATCAGCAGTTCAAGGTCTTCCTTGACTACACAAGAACTTTGAAGCTAGCCTGTGCTACTGGAGACCCAGCCTCAAAAAAGTGCTTGTACTGCACATGTACATTCTTTTTCTTTGTTTTCTAGACAATATAGTGTGATAATTATTGCTTAGCATTTCTGATGTATTAGATATTGATAAAGGAGAATATAGGTTAAATATAAATGTTGTGTTATTTTATATAAGGTGTTGAACATCTCAGGATTTAAGTATCTCCCGTGGTCCTGGAATTACCACCCCCCTCCCTATTCATACTGAAGGATGACTATCCCGAAAATAGGCAAATTATCTATTACAGTTATGATGGTAATAAACAACCACAATAAGTAACCCTTTAGATCAGTCATTCTCAACTTTCCTAATGCTTCCATCCTTTAATACAGTTCCTCATGTTGTGGTAACCGCCAATTATAAAATCATTTCATAATTTTGCTACTATTAGCAATGTAAATATCTGCTAAGTAGGATATCTTACATGTGACCCCAACGGGGTCTTGATCCTCAGGTTGAGAATTGCTGCTGCTCATAGACTAAAGATGGTTTTAATTTCATGTCTATTTTGATTGAGCATGACTACCTGCAACACTTGTAAAGATTTTGAGGCTTACCTGTGATGAGTTGCAAGGTGTGATTGGTTGGTAGGGATTTTTCCTATGGGTTCAGAAGGGTATGATAGCATTTGTACCACGTTTACTTTCAGTTATGAAACCACAATCAAACTTTTTTACCGATCCCTGAATTGGGCTCTTATTGCCCACTATGTTTAAGACTGATTTTTATAACATATGCTTAATTCTGATGCTGTGATTATCTCATATATGATGTGTCAGCAGCTACTCAGAGCACTTGATCAGAGCACAAACTCCTAATGTGCTATAATTGTAGTAAAAAACTGACTAGTTGACAGAGTAACCCCTGTTGCTTGGGCTTGATCCAGGAACTCATGTGTACTAGGCGAGTACTCCACCACTGATCTCTGTTTCTAGCCCCAGCAGGTACATTTTAACTTAGCTCATGTGGATTTATCATGAGGAAGTTCTGAGAAATAAGAGTGCAAAGATCTTTGCTGGGGTTTTTTTGTAAACTTCTTTTCATAGATCTGTTTCTAGATTGGAAGCCTATAGAATACGTGGGAGGGGAACTACTTCAGAAGATGGTGATGAATGACCTGCTTCCCTCTCTCCTTTTGAGACAGTCCTGGGCTGCCCTCAAACTCGTTATGTAGCTGAAGAGGATGGCCTTGAACTTCTGATCCTCATGCTTCTACCTCAGAAGTACTAGTGTTATAGTGCTGCACTGCTGTGCCTGTTTCTTTTTAGATGATGATGGTTGTGTGTGTAATGTTTGTGTGCTGCACTTCACCCATTGAGCCATCTCCTTGGACCCCATGCATTGTTTTTGTGAACGGCTAGCAATCTAACCCTATGTTTTGAGCGTTCTAGGCAAGCACTCTGTCAACTG